GCGGATATATGTCATCCGGTTTCATCCGGCTACCTTCTTCCCCCGAATACAACGTAGTACGGTCATTATAGCTGTATTTAGACTGAAAGATACCCCAGATACATCTTTAATGACCGTATGTTGTATTCGGGGGAAGAAGGTAGCATTATCCAGCCTGCAGATTCGGATAAAGTTCCGATAAACCAAAGGTGCTGCTTAGAGGAGATTTTGTGTCTAAGTGTGACTGGCTACCCCAGCGTCTTGACCGTTTTTTCTTTTCTTGTTTTCTTTTGCTTTTTTTTTTTTTTTTTTAATGTGCGCCATCCTTGCGCAGCGGGGCCATGGTAGACTTCTCGGTATTGTTCCAATTTCAACCGATGTGCCAAAGGACTCTTTTTCATTTTCATTTTCTTTTTCTTTTTCTTTTTCTTTTTTTGTTTAAAATTGTTCATTTTCCTATTGCTTTTTAATTGCTGAAAATGTTGAACGATGATGTGGATGGTTTTTGCCAATATATGTACCACGTTCACGTCCCAGAGGACTGAAGCGTTTCTATTTTTATTTTTTTTCCCCATCAAATTCCATGTTCTTTTTTTTTTCCCGTGTTCTTTTTCTTTCTTCAACTGTTTATTTGTGGCATACTGCGTAGCCACACGGCCCCTGCAGGGCCCGTCCCGCACTTTCAGCCTAAAAGCCTAAAACTTAGGGCTTACAGGCCCCGGTCATTCAGCCTGAAAGCTGAAATACGAGGGCCTGAAGGCCCTACTCCGTTTCAGCCTATTTCTGGGCCTTTCAGGCCCAGAGGCTTTTTAGCCTGAAACGGAGGGCCATTTTCAGGCCCTCATTGTGTTCGACCTACCTAAGACTCAGGCACGAAAACAGGGTTTCGGGAACAGGCCAGAAATAGCCTGTTCCCCACGCCAGCTCGAGCAGGAGCTGCAGCTGCGGCCCCTGCCTCCCTTCGGCATTGGCAAGAGCAGCCTCCTGGACTGCTCGCCTGCAGTCAGGAGGCACACCCGAGTAGTACATAGGATAGTCCCATGCACTTCACGGGTAGGTAGTTGTCAGTAGGCACGAGTAGTCTTCAGGATTCGGCCGCAGCACTCAGGAGGAGCGCTGCAGTAGAGCTAGGCAGTAGTCTTCAGCGTTAGCTGTAGTCTTTGGCGCTGGGCGCCCATAGCTGTAGGTGTAGTCTTCAGCGCTGGGCGCTAGTAGGTGGTAGTAGTAGC